TAGGAAACACACAAATGAGCAGAACAAATTGGAGCCAACTGGCTCTTCCAGTGGGGTACCAATAGAATAGCTAATCTGTTTACCATGGAACTGCACTAATTATTCAACTAACTTGCCAAAATAAAAGCTCATATCTGATGGCTACCATAGTGGCCGGAGAAGGTTGGAGTTTGCCTCCAACCAAACCTTGAACAGATGGCAGAATTCTGGTGGGCCCCTCAGGCAGTGAGACCACCGTTGCACCAATGAGGGGCACAGACCCATATCCCCCCCATACCCAATAAGGGCTGAGGCGACCCGCGCCCTCCCCCCACTCGGCTTCCGTGTCGAGGAGAGTTTAAAAAGCCCCTTCCCCGTCTCTTCCACGCTCTTCTTCCTCTGCAGACCCCTCCTTCCTGTGTGTCCTTTCTGCTGCACGGGGAAGGGAAGCCCGTGACCGTGGCTCCCTGAAATAAAGGCCACCTAAATTCTTTTCATATATTCAGCTGAGTTATTAATTCCCTGGTGGTCGGCGAATCTAACACTTAGGCAAGTGGCGAATCTAACAATGTCTTATTGATTTCAACTAGTTTTAGATGAGTCCTCCTGGGTCAGATAAAATGCACAAAATCCAGAATCCTGAGTGGTATTGGAGGTTGGTGTAATTTACAGATCAGCTAATGAGTACTTGTTACTATATAGCCTTCCAAATGGACTCCTAATCGCCATCGCAGAGGTACTGGCCCTGGGGGTGTGCGACCGCCCCCCATGGGCCCAGCACTAACACACTCGGGCTTACAGCCACACCACCACACAGAAACGGATCCGAAGCAGCACCTGCTTCCCCTGCCCCAAGTTCTCATCCAATCCCAGGTCCTAACCTTCTGAAACTAGGTAAGCAAGTCTCCACTTCCATTATGTAACCTTCGGCATCTTAGGCGCAGTTATCTGGCCTTCCCACGTAACGCCCTCACACTGTGAGGTCTGAGGCTGTCTACAGCAATCCTCACCAAGCCCTGTGCCGTGAGCTCATGTGGAGTGCACACTCCGGCTCACGGGGCAGGCACAGAAAGCTGGAAGCAGCTGTGCTTTCTGGAGTGCTAATGGGCACCCACAATCAGCCATCACCGGCGCCAGGGGCGAGCTGGTGGCACAGACCTGCTCCCAGCCACTGGAGCTACCCAAGGGCTCACAGAGGAACCCCACCTGCTCTGGCAGAAGGCTTACCCTTCCACTCACTGGGGAGACAGGAGGGACCGCTGGGGGAGAAGACACTCGCTGAGGAATGCAGTACATTCCCCAGGAAGAACCTGCTAGTCTTTCTGGTACTTCCTCATCTGGTTTATCTCCTTTACCTGCTGGCCTGCAGTGGCCTCAGCCAGCAGCTCCATCCGGGCGTTCGCGGGTGGGTGAGCCTTCCCCTGCTGCCTCCCGCGGTGTGGGTGAGCAGGGAGCAGGGCTGGGATTCAGGCACACGGACATGGGACAAGGGCAACTTCATCTGTGACTTAACCACCGGGCCAAGCACCTGTCCTAAGACTTCCTTTAACTTTTTCTTTCTTTTTATTGGAAAGGCAGATTTCCAGAGAGAAAGATCTTCCATCCGCTAATTCACTCTCCAGGCAGCCGCAACGGCCAGAGCTGAGCCAATCCAAAGCCAGGAGCTTCTTCCAGGTATCCCAAGGGGTGCAGGATCCCAAAGCTTTGGGCTGTCCTCCACTGCCTTCCCAGGCCGCAGGCAGGGAGCTGGATGGGAAGTGGAGCAGCCAGGACATGAACCAGCGCTCATATGGGATTCCCAGCAAGTGAGAGGATTTAGCCACCAGGCCAGACCCAACACTTCCTTTTCTTAAACAATTTAAAGTGTAGTTTAAATGTTGGCACAGTTTTCTAAATCATCTGCTTTATTATTATTTTTAAAATGTATTTACTTTAGAGAGAGAGTAGGAGAGACACAGAGAGATCTTTAATCCCCTGGTGTGCTCCCCAGATACCGAAGCCAGGAGTCAGGAGCCTCATCCAGGTCTCCCACGGCATGACGCAGGCCCAAGCACTCGCACCATCTTCTGCTACTTCTCTCAGGCTATTAGACAGCTAGATGGGAAGTGGGGTAGCTGGGGCTTGAACCAGCATCATGACATGTCAGTGTTGCAGGCACTATGCCTCTATGTCTTCATCCGCTATGCCAAGCAGCCCCGGCAGTTTTTGACTTGGCCTACCAAGTTCCTTCTTTGGTCTGAATGCAGCTTCAACCCAGCTGACCCTGGCTACCGCCCTCCCCTGTACAAGGCAGGGCTGCTGTGAGAACACTCCGTGGAAAATGCTTCCTACCTCAGCCTGACATGCAGGGAGCACTGAAGGGTCAGTCAGGACCACCCCCTTCATCAGACCCCTAAACTAACAATGTGTCAGGAGCACCAGGTAACCCTAAGGGGCGAGTTCTGGCCCAAGTGTTAAACCCCAAGCACGGGCCTGGTGTACTGGCCTAGTTGCTAGTAAGTCCTTGCTTGCACGTGCCAGGATCACATATGAGCACCAGTTCCTATCCCGGCAGCTCCACTTCCCATCCAGCTCCCTGCTTGTGGCCTGAGAAAGCAGTAAAGGACGACCCAAAGCCTTGGGACCCTGCACCCACGTAGGAGACCTGGAAGAGGCTCCTGACTCTAGGTTTCGGACAGGCTCAGCTCTGGCCATTGTGGCCACTTGGGGAGTAAGCCAGAAGATGGAAGATCTTTCCATCTCTCCTTGTGTCTGTAAATCTGACTTTCCAATAATAAATAATTTTTTTTAAGAAGTTTTATACTCACCAGTTACATTACACTAGGCCACAGTTTCCCTTCATGTCAGTTTAACTTCCTTATCCCAGGTCAGTTTTACCGCCCCACTAACTCAGATAAGGCATATTTACACTGACCAGCGCAGGCTCGAGTCTTGGCAGCAGCCTTTGTTAAACTCAACAGCGCAGTGAGTAATAACGGTACACACACTTACACAGGTCCCAAAGACCCAGGAACTGCCTGATACCTTAGAGTGAATAAAAGTGTAAGAAAATGGTTCCGGTACTTCCAATATTTTGTTACATAAACAACAATTTCAGCCCCTGAGTCTGAACAGCCTGGAACTCACCTACTATCCTCTTTAAAATCAGAGACCGGCCAGGTAAAGCCACTGCCTGGGACACCAGCATCCCAGCACAGCACTGCTGTTTCACTTCCCAGCCAGCCCCCTGTTAATGCGCCTGGGAGAGCAGCAGAAGATGGCCCAAATGCTCTAGGCCCCTGTCAATTTATATGGGAGACCCCAACCAAGTTCCATCGTCTGACTTTCCTCTGCCTCAGCCTTGGCTACCGTGGCCATCTGAGGAGTGACCCAACAGATAGAAGCTCTTCCCTGGACCCAACATAGTGGCCTAGTGGCTAAAGTCATTCCCTTGCATGAGCCAGGATCCTATATGAGTGCTGGTTCATGTCCTGGCAGCCCCACTTCCCATCCAGCTCCCTGCTTGTGGCCTGGGAAAGCAGTCGAGGACGGCCCAAAGCCTTGGGATCCTGCACCCGTGTGGAAGAACTGGAAGAGTTCCTGGCTCCTGGCTTCAGATCAGTTCAACTCCGGCCATTGCGGTCACTTGGGGAGTGAATCATTAGACAGAAGATCTTCCTCTCTGTCTCTCCTTTTCTCTATAAATCTGACTTTCCAACAGAAATAAATACATCTTAAAAATAAAAGTTCTCCCTTTTCTAATTCCACTCTTCTAATAAATAAGTAAATCTAAAAGAAAAAAAGGAAAGAAAGAAAAGAACAGCCAAAACAGCTAAACCTACAAGATCACATGAGACTGTCCAAAGCTAACATCTGGGGGGGAATCCCAGCCTATCTTTTTCTGTTTCAAAAGGGATGTAAAATTAAAACGTAGGAGCAACACTGGCCTAACTGGAATAGATGGAAGCAAGCCCCCCACTCCCCAAACTGGCCAGAAAGTACACTCTAGGCAGGCAGCTAAGGGAGAACTCTAGGCAGGGCCCCTTGCGGGGCTATGAGTAAAGGGTGTGTTCCAGTCCTGGGGCGGAGGGGTGCTGCCGGCCGAGGGGCACTGCCCAGAAATGGCGCACTGTGAGGCCGGCGGGGCACTGCAACCACACAGGACTCCAAGTGCAACCCACACGGGGCACAAGAGGGCAGAACCCCAGCCCCAGCGCGCTGCTCAAACTGTCCTTTTAACTTTTGCTTCTAAGGCAGACAACGTCAGTAAGGCTTGGAAAGGTGTGATCTGGGGAGCGGGCGGGTAGTACCAAGTCCCAGGGGGAGGGAGGAGAGAGAGAGAGAGAGAGAGAGAGAGAGAGAGAGAGAGAGAGAAAGGCTCCGATCCCCCCTCCCCGGCCAGGTCCACGAGTCACCTGTGCGCTTTCGGCCGCCCCAGAATCTCAGGGAAACCAAAGTGCATGACCTCAGGCTGCCCCCTGACTGGCTCCCCAGGACCAAAACAAACACACACACATCTCACGTACACACCCCTACAACACACACCCCCACACTCACCCTACATATACATGCACACACACCCCCATACACCCCCCCACACCCCACCCCACTACATATACATGCCACACACACATATAAACACCCACACACACACAAACACCCCCCCACACACACCCCACGCACCCAGAGCGGCCTTCCCGGCCGAGGGATTATCGGGAAGCTCCCAGCTGCCCCCTCAGCCCCCTGGCCCCACTGACGGCCCGTCCACTCGCACGCGGTCCCAAGGCCACACACCCGGGCCGCGGGTCCCCCCACCATGCCCACCCCGGGCGGCCGGAGCGCACCCCACGACGGGGCCGGCCCGTCCCGCACGGCCGTCCCCAGGTGCGAGTCGCCGGGCCCACCGGGCGCGCGGGGGCTCCTCCTGTCCGAACGCTCCACCCCACGACCCCGCACCCCACAGTCCGGACCCGGGAGGGACCCCGTCCACCACCACCACCCCGCTCCCCTCGTCACGGGGCCCGCTCGGCCCCTCGGCTCACCCAGAAGATGAGGTTGAGGAAGACCAGCACGGTCTTGGACGAGGTGATGCCGCACTGGCCCATGGCGCCGGCGGCCCGCGGAGACCCCCTGCTCGGCGCGGCGGCAATGGCGGACCCGCTCGGCCTTCCTTCCCGAAGCCCCCGGCGCCGCCGCCGCGCAGCCCCGACCCAGCAAGCACCTCGCTCCTCTGCGCAGCCGCCGCAGCCCCCGACCCGCGCCGCTCCACGGCAACCGAGTCCCGCCCCCCGCGCGGCCGCCAATCAAGCCTGCGAGTGGCGGCGGCAAGGCCAGGCCCCTTAAGGGAGCCGAATCTCCGTCTTGGCCTCTGGCCGCCCTTGGGAGGGTGGGCCCAGACCCCAGACCCTCCACCCGGCTGTTAGATGACCTTTACGCTTCCCGCTTTGTAGGTGCCTCGGAGCCCACCGAGTTGGGAGGCTTGGCAACCCTGATCTTTACTGCTGTCCTGGGTGACACCTTTTGGCATTGCTAACTGGTCAGGTGTATGCAGGGTCTGTCTGGGGCAGGGTAGTGGGATGGGCGAGGAGGAGGCTGGAGCTGGGTGGGTGTGTGGGTAGATGCCGGGGTAACATCTCAGGTGTGTTTGTGATCACGAACAGGGACCCTTCTTCTGGCATTGGCCACCCTGCACACTCCGGGGGGATTTGCAGAAGCTAGCAGCTTACTGGATTTTTGCCCCCACGCCATCTTCTACCCCAGCCGGCCTGCAGGAGTCAGCTTTCAGCGCACCGCAGGGCTCTCTAAGGGTTAAGACACAAGGTCAGAGTCAGGTGCAGCCGTGACATTTCCAGCCGCACCCTAACAGTCAACCTGGCCCAGGGCGGGGACCCTGGAGACGCACCCCTTCATTGCTCCCACAGTCCCTCCCTTCCTCTCTGCTTCCTGTGCCTGGGCACCACTGGGCAGCTCTTCTCCCAGGCTCCCAACCTCTGCCCCAGGCGACCTGGCTTCCTTGGATCCTGCCCGAGGGAGCAGCCCGGCCACAGACAAGTGAGGAGGGGACTGTGGGACACGGACTGTAGGTGTCCCTAGAAAAACCACACAGCAGTACTGGGAGTGGAGAGTGACAGGGGGTGCCCACACTGATGGCACAACCCGAGGTGACCTGCCTGAAAGGTGGAAGGAAGATAGTCCTGGCATGGGACAAGGCCTGAGGCCGGCTGCTGTGGGCAGGGTCCCCAAGGTGGGGATGGAGTTCAATAAGGCTTCATCTCCCAGATTCCAGATCTTACATTCAGTCGTGTAGAGCCTCACACCATCGCCCACACCATTCAGTGAGCTCCTCTTGGTAAAGGAGAGGCCTGACCCCGGAGGACTGGGCAGCAAGGGGCTGGTGTGTGACGGTCACCCCACAGTGCCTGTGTCATTGCTCCCACCAAGGGGATCCACCAGCTGTGTGTTGGCCCTCTCAGAGGCTGCATGTGTCAGGGTTAGGAGCACAGACGTGGGGCGCAGGGAGCCAAGGTTTGCACCCGTGCCCAGTCGGTGCCGTTCGTGTGTTCTGGAGACTCTGACCTGTTCTTTCTGACTTCCTCAGCCCTCTAGCATGCGGGGGGAGGGTGCTGGGAACAAGTTCCGGGGAAGATGGGATTAAAAGAGAAAGTTTATTTTGGTGCAGAAAGTCTTGAAATTCGTGCATATGTGGAGGGTCTTTTAAAAAAAAAAACCTCATGGAAAATGCATTTTATGAGGGCAAAACTGCATAGATTTCAAGATATTTTGCAAAATAAACCTCTCAGGGTTGGCCTTGTGGCACAGCACATAAAGCTGTTGTCTATTTGGGTGTTCCACCTCTGATCCAGCTCCCTGGGAAAGCAGCAGAGGATGGCCTAAGTATCTGGGCCCCTGCACGTGTGTGGGAGGCCAGAAGAAGCTCCTGGCTTCAGCCTGGCTCTTGCCTGGCTGTTGCAGCTACTTGAGGAATGAACCAGTAGATGGAACATCTTTCTTTCTCCTCTCTCTCTCTCTTTCTCTTCCTCTCTCTCTCTCTAACTCGGACTTTCAATAGACCAGAACAGACTAGAATCAAATCAAATTGAATTTACACTGCTGCAAACAGGTCCGTTTATTCATTCCACACATTCAGGGGTGACCTACCCTAGGCTTGACCCAACCAATCAGGGGCTGGAAACAAAGCAGGTGAAGTGAGGACACCAAGCACTGGCTCCAGAGGGGCTTGCTATCCAGAGTCCATGCTAATTCTGTAATTATTGACTTTGTTGCAATTGGAAGAAGACAAACAGGTTACCATGAGAGTGAGCACCAGGCCTGAGAGTCAGGCACTGTGAGCTGAACTGGTCACTTTGCCCAGACCTGCCCCTCCTCTGCCTATGTCTATCTGGCTCAGCAAGTAGCGCAGCCATCCTTGTCCTCAGGCCAAGACTTGGGGAGCATCCTGGTCTCCCCAACCCCAAGACTGTTGCCTATTCTGGAAAATCAGCCTTCTGGGATGACCTGGGGCTTTCCCCACACTCCTGCACAAATAGGGGCAGCTGAGGGGGGGACGCCCCCAAGGAACACAGGCTCCCCTGTGCCCCGTGTGTCCCGTGTGTCCCATGGGCCTGGCACCGCTGATAGGACTGTGGAAGGATGGGGTACACTCAAGCCTTGGGTCACCAGCTCTCAGTGCCCACTTTGATCTGAACAGGCAGGAATCCAGTCATGCTGATCCATGGGACGAGGCTCAAAGTGCCCGTCTTTTCCAAATAATACGAAGATACCTATTGCAGCAGCCACTGTCATCAATGACCACTCCTGCTAATGCTACCTGCTTAGAACAGACACCAGCCTTTCTGGAGAGCCCCTTGCCTTCCAGGGAGCTGGGAGGGGTCGGTGGGAGAGGCCCACTGGGTCATGCCCTGGAGAGGGTGACACAAAAGCAGGAACAGTCAGGGAGAATTAATTTTTCTTTCTTTCTTTCTTTCTTTCTTTCTTTCTTTCTTTCTTTCTTTCTTTCTTTCTTTCTTTCTTTCTTTCTTTCTTCCTTTCTTTCTTTCTTTCTTTCTTTCTCTTTCTTTCTTTCTTTCTTTCTTTCTTTCTTTCTTTCTCTTTCTTTCTCTCTCTTTCTTTCTTTCTGATTTATTTAGTTTGTTGGAACGTTAGCTTGACAGAGAGAAGGACAGACAGAAACATCTTCCATCTGCTGCTTCACTCCCCAAGTGGCCACAACTGCCACATCCGAGGCCCCATTAGACTGCCCTCAGCTTCCAGTAGTTCCAGAAGATGCTGGAGTGATCTGCAGTTCTTACAGTCGATCCTTTTCTGCGTAGGACAGCCAGAGCCCATTTCTGTTCTTTGTAATCGGGAATCCCTGACTAACACAATGATCAGAATAGAAAAAAAACTGGAAGTAGAAAGAGGAAGAGCAAAGCATCACTCTTACCGCCAGGAAAAAAAAAAAAAAAAAGGATGACTGCCCACAATTTGTTCCAACCTTTTACATATGCGTATTTTATGAGCATTGCAATTGTTACATAAAAATGCACATACTCTGATTTTAAAGTGTTGTCTGGGGGCCAGCGTTGTAGTGCAGGGGGTTAAGGCTCCATTGGGGAATTGGCAGTGCTGGTGTGAATCCTGGCTGCTCCGCTTCTGCTGCAAATCTCTGCTCATGAACCCTGGAGAGCAGCAAAAGACGGCCCAAGTGCATGAGCCCTGTGGGAACGTGGCTCAGCTGTGGCTGTTGTAGCCATTTGGGGAGTGATCAGGCAGATGGAAGACCTCTCTGTCTCTCCCTCTCTCTTCTGTACCTCTGCCTTTCAAAGAAACAAATAAGTCATTTTTAAAAAGGGTCTGATTTAAAAGAGGATCCATATGAATATTCTAGAAAATTGGAAATTACAAGAAAAAAAAAACAGCTACAACTGAGCGGTAACTATGGGTCATCATTGATGTATTTCCCAATAGTTTTATTATGTCACACCTTTGTTGAATTTGTAGGGAGCCGGGAAACTTGGATACTGGGATGACAGGAAGGGGGCAGGACAGCTTCTCCTGCAGGCGACCTGGAGCTGGCCAAGTGCCCAGCACTGGACTTTGGCATTGCATCAGCAGCACCCAAGACGTTGTCTGTGGCTGCTTTCCTGGCACGGGTGCCCGCGTTCTTCTCATGTGCATCCATTCTCAGTAAACACAGACACCCGGCCGAGTCACTGCTGTCTCCCGGGCCCTCAACACCAAGGGGACATGAGGAATTGGGAGGCGAGCGGGCAGCTGCAGAACCACTTTTCCAGGAACTGGGGAAGGCCAGAAGCAGCGGAGTGGCTGACTCAGCCACGTGACAGATGATGCCAATACTGGGACCCCACCCGTGGCTAGCTGACCTCTCGGCTGACACTGGCAATAAATATATATATTACATAGTACTAATACTTTCTCCAAAATGGGAGTGATGATAAGAATGATACCTAATCATAGAACACCACTTATGAAATCATTTTCATCATTTTATTTATCAGAAAGGCTAGTGCGTGGCACTGTGAGTTAAGCCACCACCTGCAAGCACCAGGATCCCATAGAGGTGCAAGTTCATGTCCCAGCTGCTCCACTACCCATCCAGTTCTCTGCTTGTGGCCTGGGAAAGCAGTGGAGGACAGCCCAAAGCCTTGGGACCCTGCACCCACATGGAAGACCTAGAAGAAGCCCCTGGCTCTTGGCTTTGGCATGGTCTATCATAGATTTCAAAATATTTTGCAACCAAGTAGATTTCTCTTCTATTTTTATTTACTAATTTGAGAGACAGAGTCTCCCAGAGCCCCCAATTCACTGGTTTGTTCCTTAAATACCAGCGAAGGCCAGGAGTGGGAGAGGCCAAAGTAAGGAGCTGGGAGCTCCAGCCAAGCCTTACCGTGTGGGTGAACAAGGACCCAAGTACTTGAACATCATGGCTGCCTGCCTCCCAGGGTACGCACTGGCAGGAAGAGGAAATAGAAGTAGAGCAGGGACTCAGCCAGGCAGTTGGATAGGAGTGTGGCTGTTCACGGCACTTTACAGGAGCTTTCTGAAGCCCTGTGAGAATAAGTAAATCACATGGAATCATATTCCTCTTCCTCTGTGTGGAGCTGCTTTCGCTGAATATTGTAGTGTTTGCCCTCATGAATATTCATATCCAGTTGTGGCAACACATCATAATGAATGGACACATGC